AAGCTCTGTATCTGAGAGAGAAAAGTATGGGGTGGGGAAAGTTGGCACAAACATCATACAAACAACCCAGAACAGTTACTTCCTATCTAGTAGATACTGCCAACCTATGCTGCAAGGAAAAAAAGGGTGTAATAAAAAAAAAAAATCCTGAGTACTATAAAGCCTGTACATACAGGCTTCAGAAAGTATCTGTACTTTGACCATCATTCATATTGTCATTTCCAGCTAAGCAATGTGAATTTCCACATTTGTTTTTACTTCTCAAAATTGGATGCAATTTCCCCTTTAAAAAAAAAACTAAATATTTTGTTCTGGTGCATGGCTTGGTTAGTGTCATCCGTTATTTATGTTTAAACAAATCTACCGTGCAACTGGGGGAAACAAAACTCTAAATGTAGAGTTCTTCCAACTGTGAAGCAACGGTTTATGACTCCAAAAAACTGCATGAATAAGTATCTGTTTTGTCTGACAAGCTTAAACAGGTGTGTTTTGAGTTTCAGTGAGTCTGGCGTTCTCCTTGGGAAGAATTTCATGAAACCTGTATACATGTTATTCCTAACATTAGTCTATGGGTTGTGAGCACACAGCAAAATAGATCACAATCTAGATTGCTTGTTTCTTGGAGTAATCCAGTCTGTTTCTTGGCAATCACATGACACATGGGGAAATAGACTCCAGCCCGAGCCCAATCCAACCCTAAAGTTCATTTCTGGTCCAGTTTTAAGACTTCTCCTATTTGGGACCAGCCGGATGAGATTCCCTGGCAGACGGAAGGGTCACTTTAAAGGAGATGCCATTAAAGGGGCCCTTTTCTGGTGCAATTAGGCATGCAGCCAGGTGACTGCACCCTAAATTAAGCCATTAGGAGAGGTGTGTTTACTTGCTGCTCTCCTCGGAGGCTCCCTTATCTCCTGGCAAGGCAACAATCCGTTGTGCATTCAGTTCTGCAGTGTTAAGATCCTAACTGACACAAGCCCCTCCCTGGCCAAAATCTCTATTGCCATTAGCAGGTGCGTATCTTGTGGGCATGTTTTAAACCCACCGGCTGAAAGCAAGCAACCACACACACAAAACAAGCCAGAACGTGAGAGGATTGAGGATGCCTTTCTATTTCTTAACTTCCACTTTCCTCCTGCACTCCAGAGACCTGTCCCGCCCAATTTATCCTCTGCTTTCAAAAAAGAAACCGTGGGTGCAACAGGTCTCCACAGCAGCTCTCCTCAGGAGCGCATCGCAGGAGTAAAAAATAAAAATAAATAAACTTCATGTATTTAGGCACCTCCCCGCCACGAGGCCAAGCAGAGCTGTTCGTCAGTCTCCTAGCGGAGAGTGAAACCGCAGGCTGGTCCTCACGGCCCGGGCTCCCCTTCTCCTTCAGGAGAGGCCTCCCACCGCCCCCCTTCCTCTTCCCCAGTTCCTGCAAGCCTTTCTTTCCCACCCGTTCGCCCAAGCCGTCGAGCCTCGTCTACCCCATTTGGGGCTGCCTTCTCCTACAGGACTTCCCTTGACAGGGGCTTCTCCCCCCCCCACTCTCGTCTGTCGAGTCAGCAGGTTTAAAGGGGGCACGACCCTCTGCTAAGCAAGAGCAGTGAAAGGCAGGCGACAGTTCCCCGTGAAGTTCCCCACTCCTGACATAAATTCCCGCCACAAGAGAAGAGTTTTATGATCCCCCGTCAAGGCAGGCACCCCTGCCCCGGGCTCCCAATGGAGCAGGCATGCAACTGTTACATAGTGGCTAAGAGACTGAGTTACAAATCAGGAGATTCTCAGTTTGAATCTCACTTCTGGCTTGAATTCACAAGGTGATTTCAGGCAAACCACTCTGTTTCAGCCTCAGCCCCCCTCATCCACAAGGGGGGCAATAACAATACAAACTTGACGTTCTGAAGGAAAGCTCTAAAGAAGGAATGAGGAATCTATAGTTCCTGAGCTGAATGTAGTCTTGGGGGCGCAAGCCGTGGCTAGTTGTGTTTTGAGTTTTGAGTTTCAGTGCGTCTGGCGTTCTCCTTGGGAAGAATTTCATGAAACCTGTATACATGTTATTCCTAACATTAGTCTATGGGTTGTGAGCACACAGCAAAATAGATCACAATCTAGATTGCTTGTTTCTTGGAGTAATCCAGTCTGTTTCTTGGCAATCACATGACACATGGGGAAATAGACTCCAGCCCGAGCCCAATCCAACCCTAAAGTTCATTTCTGGTCCAGTTTTAAGACTTCTCCTATTTGGGACCAGCCGGATGAGATTCCCTGGCAGACGGAAGGGTCACTTTAAAGGAGATGCCATTAAAGGGGCCCTTTTCTGGTGCAATTAGGCATGCAGCCAGGTGACTGCACCCTAAATTAGGCCATTAGGAGAGGTGTGTTTACTTGCTGCTCTCCTCGGAGGCTCCCTTATCTCCTGGCAAGGCAACAATCCGTTGTGCATTCAGTTCTGCAGTGTTAAGATCCTAACTGACACAAGCCCCTCCCTGGCCAAAATCTCTATTGCCATTAGCAGGTGCGTATCTTGTGGGCATGTTTTAAACCCACCGGCTGAAAGCAAGCAACCACACACACAAAACAAGCCAGAACGTGAGAGGATTGAGGATGCCTTTCTATTTCTTAACTTCCACTTTCCTTCTGCACTCCAGAGACCTGTCCCGCCCAATTTATCCTCTGCTTTCCTAACGCCACCCATTCCACTCGGCGTTATCCCTCAAATTAGGGACAAAATTCAACTTATACATGTTTCAAAAAAGAAACCGTCGGTGCAACAGGTCTCCACAGCAGCTCTCCTCAGGAGCGCAT